GATCTAAGAACCAATACGAGAATCTGATGTATCTGTCTCTAATAATTCTTGAGCTACTATCGATATCGATATTTATCGATTGCATGCAAACGCAGTTAGTTATCGATTGATGCAGCTCACAGACTTTGTCTGGACATCTGCAACGTGTTATCTACCCCGTTTCTTTGGGCCATTTTCAATGGGTGCTGCGTAAGAGCTGTTGAGCGTCTTAAAGTGAAATAAAATTTGAATGAAAATAAAATCAAATTGGCCATAAATTATGTTCAAAGGCGTTTGCCGTTTGCCATTTGTGTTGTGTGTGTGTTTTGTTTTTTTTTTTCTTTGAAATTTTACATTCCCAGCTACAAAATGTACAATATTTTTGGCTAAATGTTTTTCAAATGTTTTCGTCTAATAATTTAATGCCAGTGGCTTTTATTGTGCTGCTGCTTCTCACTCATTTGCTTTGTTGCTGCGCGAATACGTTGGCGTCTATTTTGATTAACATTTAAAGAGCGTAACAATTAATTTGTTAACGGCCAACAAAAATAGTTTTTATTTATATTCAAAATACCAGCGGGTATATCATTGAAAATAAGTCTCAAACGGATCGGACGGTAAACCAAAGAAGTTGCATACAAACGTTTTCCACGATTTTTCCACACATGCGGGTGGAATTAGCCGGAAACCCCGCCTTAAAGTTCAGCTTATATATATAAATAGCAATGCCGACTTCTCTCTTCAAAATGAAAATTTGAATGTGCCTAAAAACTGTTTGGCTAAGAAATTTGTTTGCGGATACATTTTATTATTAATCAACTTTTTAGTTGAATTTTTCAAATCTATAAGAATATAATATAATAATATCATGCTACTGTGTCAAAAACTGTCGTAAGCTATCAGAATAAAGACGAAGAATAAGAAACTTTTAATTGAAATAAGCTACACATGCGTTAAGAATTACAAAAAAAAGTTGTTGAAGAACACATAAAACGGGAGGGCTCACATCTCACATTTTTCTCTTGGTGAAGCCAAACAACAGCAATTAATTTGTTATCAATTTGAATCAACTTTGCTTTTGCTCGCCAAGAAATCAAAGACTAGAAATAATTGCAGCCAGAAATGAGAAATGAGAACAAGCCCAGTTTGGAGGCACATTTTCCCAGTGATCTACCGTGTGTTCTGTACGTGCGCTGAGCCAGCACTTTCGGTTTTCCCAGCGCGTTCCCACCAAATGCTGCTCGCATATGCTGCTTTCTAATGCGGCGCTTCGGCAGAACTGCGCCCGATTTCTGAGGGGGCTAGCAGGGTATCAGTGGGTGAGCGGCGCGAGCAGCTGCTCTGACAGCTGGCCACAAATCAAATTGCTGCAGTTGCAGATCTTAAATCAACTGCCGCATTCTCGGAGCAGAGCGCTTTTAATACCTTTTTTTTCTGTCTATGCCCTGACGTGGTGGAGAGTTTTGATTAAATCACAAAGTATGTCACGTAGGGAATATTTGCTAATGTATAGGAATATATCTAAGATAATAAACTAGGCATATTTTGTTATTTATAGGAATATATTCAAGACCACAAAACGTTAATGTCAAATTTGGGTGAGTCTAGCTCTTAAAACCCGAGAAATTTGCTCCGAAAAACATGATTTCGATAACGATTTTTATCGATTGCTTGCAAGCGCGGCAAGTTATCGATTATCGGATAAACAAATTCGTACTGCGCGGGCTCTGGGTGGATCTATATTGAAAATTGTAAGTCTTCCTAAGACCTAACTACCTATGAAAGTTACCTAGAATTAACTTAGGATCTGTCCGGACGGACGGACAGGAGAGCGGGCAGACGGACAGACATGCGGACATGGCCAGATCGATTTGCCTCTTTATGCTGATCCAGAAAATATATATACACAATGGAGTCGGAGTTGCTTTCTTCACACATTTGCACAAATACAATATACCCTTTTCACCCATTCCTAATGGGTATACAAATTAAAGTGTTTATTTACGCGATAAAACTAATAATAGAAAGTAATCTTATGCCAGATGATATGGACAAAACTCCCTCTCAGTCATAAGTCAGCTAGGGTATTTAAATTTCGGCGCAGACACCTTTTTTGTGGTTTTATTTTATTTTTTTTTTTTAATTTCTTGGTCAGTAGTCGCCGCAGTCGCCGTCGCTGCTTTCACCGAGCGCTTATCGATGTAACTGCAAGTGTCAACAACAACCCACAACAACAACAACAACAACAACGACAACGACAACGACAACTTACAACAACAACAATAAGTAGAAGAATTGGCTGCCGCCGCGTCACGTAAACGCAACGCCCGCCGCGCCCAGCCTTGACCTAGAGCAGCGCTTCGACTTTGGGCTTGGGCTTGGGCTTTGGGGTCTATGTCTGGGACTGCGACTGCGACTGGGCTTGGGTCTGGGTTTGGGTCTGGGTCTGGGCCTGGGTCTATGTGAATGTCTGCACACGTCTGGGAAAACGTGCATTAGACGCATTTGATGGAAAGCTGCTCGCATGTTTGCCAGCTACTCGAAGAGCGCAAAGCTTTCTTTAACCAGGCCCAAAGCCATGCGACATTCGGCTAGTGGGCCACACGCACACAAATATACACACACACACAAGTACACACACAGATTCGCAGCAAATATGCGAATTGAGCAACTCTTTTCGCGGCGAAGTGGGGGCAGTTGGAGACTTGGCACTCATCAGCTGCAAGGAAAAACTGCAATTTTTCATTACGCAAAAGAAAACAGGAAAGACAAAATATAAAAAAAAAAACCTAGACGTATCTAGGCTGCCGACTACGCCATACCCTGCAGCTGAAAAGCTGTTTTATTTTGGCGTTTAGTGACTCTCCAACTGTAGTCCAGGTAGGTTTGCACTCTCAAACTGTTGAAGCAGAAACTTAATATATTGTTGCGTTCAATTCCTGTTTAACTGTAGCCCAGGCAAGTTGTGACTTTAAAACTGTTGGGAATGTAGTTGGGGTTTCAATTATTCTCCAACTGTAAACCCGAAGAGTTGTGACTTTCAAAGTGTTGGCAAATCAGTTACATTCTTTGGGGTCTCAATGATTCCCGAACTGTAATCCATCATATGGTGACTTGAAAACTGTTGGCGCAGCAACTAAATCAATGATTCTCCAACTGTGGTCCCGGCATGTTTTGACTTTCAAACTGTTGGAAAGACAATACATTTTTGAGGTTCAATGGCTCTCCAACTGTAGCCCAGGCAATTCGTGACTTTAGAACTGCTGGAGCAGCAACCAATATATTGTTGGGTTTAATTGCTCTCAAAGTGTAGTTGTGACTTTAAAACTATTGAAGAACAGCTACTAAATGTTTAATTTCAGTGGCTCTCCAACTTTAAAACTGTTGGTAAATCTGCTTCGCAAACAGCTACCAAATCTTGAGGTTTAATGACTCTCCAACTGTAATCATGACTTTAAAGCTTTTGGAAAGAGTTCGACAGAGTCTCTAATAGTATTTCTGCAAGTTGTTATATTTAGACTCCATTTTTAAGGTCTATTTCTCAAAATGTAGATGCTAATGAAATATATTACATTTTCCAAAAATCGATAAATATAGATTTTGAGCCTCAACGAACTCTTTTAAGCTCTCTTTACGGGGTATAAAAATGCGTTGTTGTGGCCATTGCCCAACCAAAATGAGTTGGCCAAGAACCGACGCTTGCGCATGATGACAGCCAAATCTGTACGAGATGCTGTTAATTAAGCCTAAACATGGCAGAGACCTAACTCCCCAACCCCGCCCCCTCTGCTCCGCTCCGCTTCCTTACCCACCATTTGGGCCATTAGCATTAAGGCAAAGCCCACAGCATTTGACATGAAACGGCAGCAGCAGCTTTTTGGGCATCGGGCGAGCGATCCACCCACGATCCTTAAATTGTCTGCGCCGCCGACACACAAATACTCTCACTTAATTAAAATCAATGAGCAGCAACAAACAATCAACAGAAACAACAGCCGCAACGAATTTAAGCGGCAACAACAAATTGTTTGCTTTAAATATTTATAAACTATTTTTTCGGAAGGTGAACAATGTTTGCGTGGGCCTTTGCTTGGGCTTTGGAATAAAACAAATAAAAAATAATAACTTAAAGCCAACAAAGAAGACAAAGAATTGCTTGCAATTTATGCTGCAGCCTAGTTTACGTCAAAATGCTCGACTAACAGATACCCTATTAGTTATAGTGAAAGCGAACTAGCAGAGCTAAAAATTGAAGGATAAAAGAAATCATAAGCATCAATTTAAAGCCCATGCAAAAAGCAGAAAACTCAGCAGCTTGTGCTCGACTAGTAGATACCCTGTAACAAGTTCTCAGTATCTGAAGGGAAGAAGTCATGAGCACGTTGGCTTTACAGCCAAAAGATTTCTCACGAAATGGATACAAATTAGTATTTCGAGTGCTTGACTAGCAGATACCCTGTAAACGCTTTAGTTAAGACACTTAACAGCTGAGAGTTTTATGGCTGAACGAAATTTCTAAATGTTTTATGCTTCATTTATTTAAATCAGAGCTGCATGAAGTGCTCGACTAACAGATGCCCTGTAGATCTACACTACACCTTATTATCTGAAGACAAGAAACCATGAATAGTCAAAAAGCTTAATAGCAAAAATATTTCTCACGATTAAGATACAATTTGCATATTTCGGTACTACATGAGGTGTTCGACTAGCAGATGTCCTGTAACTCTACAGCGAGCAGTGCCAAAACCACCGCAATGAAGCAGAAAGAGCATAAGACTTGACGATACCCTGTATAAAGGATAGAAGGAATAGACTTATAAAAAAAAAACTATTGTCAATCAGTGAATGTTCTGACTACAGATACCCCATATGATAAATGCATGGTTAGGACTAGAACGACACAAAAAATATTTTGTAAAATTATGAAACTTGAAACGAGTTTAATGAAAATATAGATTGTTGGGGATCCAAGCAAGCTCTGAAACCTATTCGACATTCAAGTTAGATGACTCTGGAGAGGAGAACAGAAAATTTTCATTACTCGAGATTCTCTGGAACTGAACAGTTCGTGTGCTCCCAAAAAGTAAGTATTCAAAATACAAATTTGAATACACTTTTCTTTTGCTAACAAAGAGAATACCCTTCTTGAAGGAAAATCATATATATATTTTATATAAGAAAAGCCGAAGGATGCCTACCAACGCGAATGGCTTGGTTGGTGGTACAAAGAAATTCTACGGCAATGGTCGTCGACTCAAAGACGGACTCGAGATCCGTAAGAAGACTTTTCGTACCGATGTACGCCGAACAGCCGCACAATTTGATCCCTGGCTGCGCTTGCGCTTCCGCAGCAAGGGCTTGGAGGAGCTGAGGCAGGTGACGGCAGCCTTCGCAACCGATATACTGGACGATATGGTGGCCGTGCAGATGCACGCCAGACGCACCACGGCGGGCGTCAAGCGGAAGCCGGTTAGGCGTTTGAGGAAGGATAATGTGATGCCAAAGCGAGGACGAAGGAAAACAAAAGCTGGCCGTAAGACCCCGACGGCCCGATACAGCCAAACAGTCAAGGGTAACCAGGCAGGCGAAACTAAGTTGTAGGAATAACTGGGCAAGGGGTAACAATGTGACGGGCGGATGGATTTAAATAGGAATTTACGTTTTGGATGTTCGATTTTATCGCAAAATTAAAACTTTGGCAACGCAAAAACACAAATATCATTGTCGTTTCTTAGGGATAACTGGGCAATTGTGGGAGTTATTAAAGATGTGAGGCAAGGTTTAGCTGCGCGTGCCATAGAAGCAGCTGGGTTCCAAAGTTCAAGCCTCTAGCTCCTAAAGTTCTCGAGTTCGACGGCTTGGGATGAACAGATAGAAGTGTAGACATGCTTCGGCTCGTGTCGCACGATCAACACTGATATGCTCTGCAAGCGTAATAGTGTATAAAGGGTATATTGCGTGTCATCAATTAGCTGCAATTGCTTTGGCGCTTCACAATTGCCATGCTTATGTGGCAAGTGCCTGCCAGTTGCAGCTATGGCAAGTGCGGACCTCTAGAACTAGTTACTCGGTTGGCAACGGGGAAACTAGTTACGCAGAAAATGTGGCAACAGCAACGGGAATGGCCATAAAACAACTTGACTGAACTTTGGCCGTTTGCTGCAATATGCGCTAACGCACAGATCGCAGCCGAGTCGAAGATGCCTCAACCCAAACTTTGCCAAAAATAGATTTGCAGCAGATACAACATTTTGGTATGGATTAGGCTCTGGCTCTTACAGCATAAATTGAAAGAGGAATGATTATTAACTGATAAGTCTTGGCTTGGCCAACGTTCTTTATTGGTCTCCGTTTTTAGCCTGGCTCAAACATTTCTAGTTTCAAACATATCTTTTCCGAGCGAGTCTCAACCAGCTGACAGTCGAAAAATTCAGCAAAAATTCAGTCGGTCAGTCTATCATTCAGTCAGTCAGTCTTTATTTAAAATATCTTGTCTTTAAAGTAACAAACTGTGAAATTAAATACCAAAAATAAGGCAAAGGGTTTTTTGTTCTTCTAATTTAAGCGCTGCAAAAAAGGCGTTGCATACTTTGCGGCTGCTTTGCGAAATGTTGGGCCGCAAAATTGTGTTGCATGCTTTTAGGGTGGCCGCAATTTGAGCTGCCCAAGCGTCAAGCGAAGGGAGACGCTTCATCAGCTACAAACACACACAACCTGGGGCATTGTCTGACTGTGTGTGTGTGTGTGTGAAGCTTTAATATTTTGCGCTTAATAAATAACAAAAAGAGGAAGAAGACATGCAAAAAATAAAAGAAAGGGGTTGCAAAAGCGCCAGACAGCAAAAGGAAGCACAACACAAGGAAGTGGCAGAAGGGCGGGGATGTGCGTGTGTGTTGCTTGGGTGTGTGTGGGTGTGTGGGTGTGTGTGTGTGTGTGTGTGTGTGTGTGTTCCAAAAGCCTCGAAGTCATAAAAATTACAACAGCAACAACACAACAACATTTGACAAACGGGCAAATGCAGTGTGGGAGAGGTGTGCGTCTCTCTCTCTCCCCCTCCCTGCCCTCTCTCTTTCTCTCGTTGTCCTCTCTCTCACTGTATGCGTGTCTTGGTGTATGTGTGAGGCATAAGCTTAAATCATAATAACCGCAAGCCTTAATATGCGACAGAAACAGGAGCACAGGCACAAGGATTACAGCTAAGGGTAGGGGTAAGGGGTGCCCCCACCCTCAACACCCCTCCATCTAGATGAGACCCCACAAGAGCACGCCATGAGGTGCGTTAACATTGTCAAGACCAGGATCCCCCCCTACCCAACCCTCCTCAGACCAACTCTTATGCACTTTCACAGACTTTTCCGGCATTCTTCCTCTTGGCTTTGTCTGTGCTGTGACTGAGACACACGCCCAGCGCCACCCACCACCGCCCACCCACAGCCACGCCCCGTTTTGGTGGGGCATTAGCCCTTGGCAGCTATTCACTTACCTTTCAGCTGCTACTTCCAGTTTAGCGCTAACTTTGGCTACGCACACAAAAGGAAAACTTGGCAAAATCAACTGTAAAGAGAATGTGGGAGAACGGGTTAAAAGCGCGAAAGAAAAGGGTACGAAAATGGGGAGGCAAGAAAGAGAATAAGACGAGCTACTTCTTCGCACTATTCGTCACAATGAATAAAACATAGTTTTACAATTGTCCCAGACAATTCACAAAAAAGTAAATAAATAAACCGAAGTGCGGCAGCGGATAGTGTCCGACTAGGGGATACCCTACCTTAACAAACATATTTCTACACTTTGCTGCAGACTGTGGAAAATGTGGCCTCAAGTAACTTCGGTATTTATTGTCCGATCGGTATGGAAATTTCAGGGACTCAATATGACATCCAAATGTGTGTAAAAACCAAAAGGCAAGGCTCTATTTTTAAGAACGATTTCTTATCCAGTTTGGGGTAGATATGGAACATGTATCCAAAAACTGAAATATAAATATCTACATATTCTACACAATAATCTAAATATCAAGTTTGGTGTATAAAGCTTTCGTAATCTTCGAGTTACGCCGAAAAAAAACATGTCTCAGTATCGATATTTATCGATATTATGGAAATCGGAGCAGATATCGACAATAAAGTCCAAAATCCCTTTGTTGCTCTCGAGATCGTCGCGTTAATAAAGACGAACTGATCTCCCGACCTCCTGATCCCTCCCTACTTCATGGCAAGACTTGTCTCTTTTCGTGCGTTACACATTTTGGCACAAAATTATAGTACCCTTTGCTAGAGTATAAATGCAAGTTCTAGTGAGAGTTTTCTGCCAAATTTCAAGGGTTAGTCAAGGATTTATCAATTGTATTTGATTTTACCGCAGGATGCAATTCATTGTGATCAATTTCCTGAGCACATCGAATTCAATGCGAGCCATTGTCAGCAATAGTTTGTGTAGTGAAAGGGTTATCGTTTGGGCTTCGACTAGTCTCGAAGTCATGGAATGGATGCCCATAGGGTTGAGAGCTGGTGCGAGGGTTGATTTCAATTTGCCCTTTGCCAAATTGGAATTCTTATTAATGCAGACCTTAACAGCTTTCGACTTAAAGTGCGATATGGACTTGACAGTTATTTGAATGAATTTAGATATGTGTTTAGGGCTCTTAGAATTAAATGTTCAAGTGAATTGAATAGTTGTTTGGGCAAACGTGTTTTTTCTTTTTAAGAAGTCGATATTATCAACTGCAACTAAGGAAGAAAAGAAGCGCATAAAACGATTTTTTGTACTAGAATTGAAATTTGCCTCAACAAGCTATGTTCCAGTTGTTCGGCCAGGCCAGAACCTGATACGGGTCACTTGCACACTGGCAACAGCTCCCTTTGTCCACAAATATTTCCAAATATTGTCGCAAAGCTGTTTGTGAACCTTGAGGAATGATTAATGAGCCAATGTTTGCACTCTGGGCATGCGGGATAGGTGGTACCTTAAACAGCTGTACAAACAGGAACATTTAACAGCTGGTCCGAGTCAAATCACGACAAGAATTCGTTAGTAAAGTGGGGCAAGCCCCAAACAGGTGCGACCAAGCCTGGGCACACACAGTCAAGGTCAATAACATCGATAACGATAACGATGACAATGACGATGACACATCATTAAAGACTGTTGACAAGTCCCCAAGTCAGTTGGAAGAGTGTGAGAGAATGCCCGACTGGGAGATACTCTAAGCCTGTTACCACAAGCACTCGAACCTTCTTCCAACCAAATATTCAATAAAAAACACACAAGTGTTATCGAAAACAGTTATTTAGACTATACAAATTTGTTGAAAGGGAGGAGTTGTCAAAAACTTTGAATATTTTTCATATGTATGCACTGTACAAAAATCTATATACAAAGTTTGCTGTATCAGGTTCTTATAATCTTCGAGTTTTGACGTAAGACACAAAAATCGATATTTATCGATATAATGAAAACGAAGCTGATATCGAAAACAAATTGAAAAACTCGCTCAGCTTATGGCATAGAAGAATTTATGGAATTTGTATCGAACTACGACGATTCTTTAGCTCTTTTTGCATGACTGCAGTATACCCTCTGTTCACCATACACAATGGGTATGGACAGAAAAATGAATGTCTGACATGCCTATGTCATTAACACAGTGAAAAGGGAGAACAACCGAAATTCGTTAAGCATTTGAGCAGCCGAAAAGCATGCAACATGCTTTGCTTTTGCTCAATAAGCAACTGTCACCCAACATTCTAAGAGGGGGGCGGGGTGGACTGGGGTGTCAGCTAATTTATGGAAAGTCTTGAAACTATGTAGCACATGCATAACGAATGCCAATCTTAAATGCCAAACCAAACAGAACAGAGCAGAGCCAAGCAAAACAAACAAACGTGAAAATATCTCTGAAGCCAGCTGTTGATCTCCCCTCCCCTTACCCCTTTTTTTCCTTACTGGCAGCACGGGCATTTCGGGTTGCCACTTAGCGTGGCAACTGTAAACGATGTGGCAACACATTTATTGGAGATCGAAGAGCTCAAAACAGAAATCTATAAGATCTTTGCTAGTTGAAAGCATATTAATTGGTTACAGAATAAAATGTGTGTTATATACCCTGTAAAAATGATATGCGGGCATAGGGGGCTGTAAGAACTATGTGTGTGTGGAAAAGAAAGGGTATTCGAAAATCAAATTTGATGACTCTAGCTCTTAAAACCTAACAGATTTGCTCAACAACAGGATTTCAAGGCCTGTGTACAGGGTATCTCCTAGTCATGCACAGGCAGCAATCGAGCTGGTTTTCTCTTGTTATTATAGTTCTATTATGCCCCCTGCAACATCTTTTCTTGCCCAGTGAAAGTGCTGGCCAAACACTTGACAATTGTATTTTTGAGAAATTCATTTTTTTGTATTGTCATCGAGCTCTTCGATTCAATTGACTTTCAATTTGATCGGCAATTAAGCACTCGGTCACCCTGCTCGCTGTCCAAATATTTGCATCGCGCAGCCATTGACCCGAAACGGAACCCGCATTCAAACGGCCAACTGGAGTGAGCAAATGTGTTAGGCTGAACGACTAGCAAATACCCTGTAGCCAACAAATTTATTTCAGATAAAGTTGCTGTGTTTATTGCCCCATTGGAAACAACTTTTCAGCGCTTACAGATGGCACTCGAATGTGTGTAAGTCAGAACGGAACGACTATTATATACCCTGTAAACAGCT